TTTATCTTTATATAAAAAACGTTTTAGATATGACCACCAATAGCATAAAACAATACTTCATTTCTAAGCCTTTCCGTATCAATTCTTCTTATGTCAACATTATTGTTTTAGTAAGCTCATATGAAAACAAATGATAGGATCATTTTACGAGACATTATGAATCTATTGATTTCTATGGCTGCACAATTAAGGGTGCGGATATGAAATGAATACAATATCCATACACATACGCTCTCAAAATTAATTATTTTAAACAATAAAAACAAAATAAAAAACGTTTACTAATATGATAGATGAATTTATTAACGATATACGATTTCTAAGCAAAACAACTGAAAAGAATAATTTAATTGTGAGAGATGAGAGTGTCAGTGTAGGTATGAGTGAAAAAGATTTACATTCGCAGACACACTCGCACACTCTTTATATCAGTGGATGTCTCTTTCTTTATCAACTTTATATTTTATTTTAATTTCATCGGTAATTATCTATTGACCCGAATTTTCATCATCTTCATTTGTATGAAAAAGTAATTGATGGTGTGTAATGGATAAAACTCCTGATATACAAGTTATTTCAAATATAAGAGAATATTCTGCTGAATAACGTATTGGTCTTAAAAAATCATATACAAAATCTCTTTAATCAATTTGTGATAAATCTTCATCTTTAATAATTGTTCTTCTTATTATAATATCATCGGATGAACTATTTTCTATTGATTCATTGTATTCTACGTCTTCGTCGTCCTAAATCATTTTCCCATGAATCTAATTTCCAAAATAAACATGAACTATTTAAATAAGTTATTTTATCATTGATCATTTGAGATAAATAATTAATACATTTGTTTGGTAACATTGACGAGATGATGTTATGAAATGATGACATAAATCTTTTCGAACATCATCTGCACGCATACGATTAAGTATAAACTCGGCTTCTTTTGCAACTTTAACAACATGATCTTTATTTGCATGAGCAACTAAACGACCTTCATTAACAAGTTCAATAAAAGCTAAACTAGTATATCTCTCAAGAAAAAATAATAATTTGATACTTTTTCAAATATTATTTGTAATGAATTTTGCCATTTTTGAGAACATAAAAACATGAGAAGTTCAACAGGTAATGCTATTTGTTTAAGAGCATGTAAACCATTAGGTATTAATTCTTGTCCATGTAATCCAACTAAGATTTCCAAAAGTATATGTGAAAATTCTGTAAAAAGCTCTCATAAAAATGGTGCTAGATTTGATAATTTTCCTGCTAATTTTTCAGTTATATTCATTGGTGAAGGTTCCTTTGAATTGAAACTTGTTTTTGGATAATCTACAAATTTTAATTCCGATATTTGACTTTGTTCGAGTGTAGATGGATCATTTATTGGAATACTAGCAATACTTGATAAAAAAATATAAAGGTGTGGGTATTTATCTTCATTTGATCCACACCCGTCTCGTTGCGAAGAGTGAGGGTGTGTGACCCGTTTTTGATTGATCATCACACTCATCTACTCCCTCAACTATCGAAATGATCGTGTAAAGTAGTAGCTTAGAATTGTCCTATAAACTTCTTCTCAAGATCTAATATTTAATATTTGTAGTTAGATATTGTCTAACTGTGGTAGTTGATTATAAGATAAATATTTCTTATCAACAAAGAAGAAAAAAACAAAGTAGAAAAGATAAGACTTAAACAAAGTTGTTGTTTTGACAATATTTTCTATTTGAATTTGTTGAAGAAAATGTCTTATTATGGATCATTCGTTTATTTTTTGAGTATTATTACAATAGTATTACTTTCTATTTCTAATTGTGAATCAACTCCATTGGATGATTATGTTCGTAGTGTGGATTCTCATTTTAATTGGAGTTTAATACGTACTTATGAAGAACCAGATTACAAATTATATATTCTTAATTTTACATCACAAAAATGGCTTGATGGTAAGTTATAGAATAAAGTTTTGAGAAAAATAAAAAGAATAATTTTATAATGAAGATACATTTTCATCACGATCTATTTGGTGGCATTATCTCTGTATAACTGTACCAAATAAGTTAATACGTCCGAATACTGCTTTCCTCTTTATGGATCAAGGTAGTAACAATGACGGGTAATAAATATTTTTATTTAAAAACAAAATTCATTCTTTACTTCAACTGATATTATTAAAGTATTCCACAACCACAAAATGATTTTGTCGCTTTGACATCAATGTTTGGTGTAGGTAGTGGAAGTATTTCTGTCGATCTTCAAGATATTCCAAATGGTCCCATTCGCTTTATGGTAAATTCATTCGATAAATTATTGAATTTAATCTTTGTCTAAATGATAGGCTGATCCAACAAATACAAGTCGTAGTGGTGATGCAGCTATTGCTTGGACTTGGAAAGCATTCACTGACAATTCATCGAATGGTGACGTTCTTTTAAATTTACCGATGACGAAGGTATTAAAGCAATTTGTTTTAATTAATATATATTTTAATACAGGCTGCATATCGTGCAATGGATGCTGTACAACAATTTACAGATAAACAAGGAATTATTGTACCGAAAAAATTTGTTGTTGCAGGTACTTCTAAGGTAAATCTTTTCTAAATTTATATCAATTCAATAATGATTAGAATTAATAGCGTGGCGGAGCAAGTGAGATATACTTTTGTTTTTCTCTCATATAATTCTTTTAACAAAATCAATTCAGCATGGTTAACAGCCGCTGTCGACAATGAACGAGTTATTGGTGCTATACCTATTGTTATGGATCTATTAAAAATACAATTCGTAAGATGGTTTAATCAAATAAAATTTCCGCTTTTTACATTATATTATTTTAAACAAATAGAATTTACATCATATGTATAGAGTAAGTTTTGAATAAATAAGTTTCTATAAAATAGATGCGGTGTATATAGTCTTTAGTAGGGTGGTCATTTACGTTTCAAGATTTCTTTTTATTGAATATCACTCAATTGATTGACAATGATAATATGACAAAAATATCTCAAATTATTGATCCATATCGTAAATACTTATTTCTTTAATTATTGATTCAATAATTAATTCATTAATAGATTATTTTGATCGATTTGTAAAAATAAAAATTTTACAAATTCAAGCAACTGGTGATGAATTTTTTCTTCCCGATAATGAGATATTAGATTAGATTAATGAAATTTAATGATAATTTTATTTGTTTTATCGGTTTTTTTAAGATGCTTTTTGGAAAGAACTTCAAGATGCAACAGGTGGAACATATCTTCGGTAATTTTCATTTGTTAATTTTTAATTAAATATTAATAATTTTTTCAATGAATAGACGAATACCAAATGCTGATCATGTTTGTGTTGGTCATATAATAAGTTATTTTCTTACAATGCGAAGCTTTTATATCAGTATATACGATGTATATTAAAATAAAATTTTTTTTTTTTGTTTTCAAATTAAAATTTATATTATTTTAAAGAATCAACCATTACCTAAACTTCAATGGATAAAAGCATCGAATAATACTCATGGATATATTCGAGCAACTGTAGATTTTAGTATTGGACCTAAACCAATCAGTGCTTATGGTTATCGCGCTCGCACACTGAACGATAAACGGTAAATTTTCTTCGAATATATTTGTTTTTGTGCATATATATATATTGATCACTAGACGAGATTTTCGTCTTCTTATTGGTAATCCTGCTGATCCAAAAAAACCAATGGTAAATCCTGTATTTTGGTTTAATACTGAAGTTGTCAAAGAGGTTCACAATATTTCTTTGTTATATATTGCATGAATAATTAATATACGAAAATTTAGATAGAAACAAACACAACAATCATTTATTCATTGACAATTGAAAACCCAAATGATGGTTGGGAAGGCTTTTTCATTCAAATCAATTTTCCTGGTTCAAATGGTACTGTTTTGGAATTAACTACTGAGACACAGATTATTCCAGATAGTTATCCAACGAATGATTGTCATGATGAACAATGTGCGGGTTCACTCGTTTAATACATTGTTAATAAAAAATACTTCACCTCAATCAATAATCAAATAGAAACTATTTTGAAATCTATTTCCACTAAATTTATTTATTTATTTATTTATTCGCATCATTAATATACAAAAAAGTGAGAAAACTTATTCACTACTCGATGTCATATTGATAAAAATCAAAGAAAAGAATTCGTTTTTATTTTAGTTAATGTTTTCTTAAAATAAATAAAAGAGATAAATCTTTATTAGGGATGTACCGAGTCCGAGAGGTTCGGGCGTCAAGATGGGTGTGAGAGTGGGTGGATGTGGGTGAGAGCG